GTGTAGATGGAGAAGTTAATACTTTTAAAGCAAGACTGGTTGCTAAAGGTTATACTCAAAAATAAAGTGTTGATTATGAGGAAACTTTTTCAACAGTAGCAATGCTTAAATCTATTCGGATATTGCTAGCAATAGCTGCGTATTATGACTACGAGATATGGCAAATGGATGTGAAAAATGTTTTTCTTAATGGAAACATAAAGGAAGACATTTATATGAAACAGCCGCAGGGTTTCATATCCAGTGGGAGCGAACAAATGGTTTGTAAGCTTCAAAGGTCCATTTATGGACTTAAACAAGCTTCGAGGAGTTGGAACATTCGGTTTGATGAAACGATCAAAACGTTTGATTTTCATAAGAATCTGGATGAACCATGTGTTTATAAGAAGGTTAGTGAGAATGCATTTGCATTTGTTGTTCTCTATGTTGATGATATTCTACTCATTGGGAATGATATAGGAATGTTACAATCAACACGGACATGGTTGTCTAAACAGTTCTCCATGAAAGATTTGGGAGAAGCATCTTTTATCCTAGGGATAAAAATCTATAGAGATAGATTTAAAAAGATGATCGGACTATCCCAGTCTACGTACATAAATAAGGTACTAAAAAGGTTTAGTATGGAAGAATCCAAACGTGGATATATTCCAATGAGTCATGGGGTTTCACTTTCTAAGACGATGTCTCCAAAGACACCTGAAGAAAGAGAACGGATGAGTCATATACCTTATGCATCAGCTATTGGTAGCATTATGTATGCAATGTTATGTACAAGACCTGATGTTGCTCATGCACTTAGTGTAACGAGCAGATATCAGTCTAATCTAGGTGAAGAACACTGGAAAGCCGTTAACATGATTCTTAAGTACTTGAGAAGGACTAAGGATATGTTTATGGTATATGGCAATGGAGAATTGAAACTAGAAGGCTTTAGTGATTCTGGTTTTTAGTCTGATAAAGATGACTTTAAATCCATGTCTGGTTACTTGTTTACTCTGAATGGGGCAGCAGTTAGTTGGAAAAGTTCCAAACAAGAAACGATTGCTGACTCTACAACATAGGCTGAATATATTGTTGCATCTGATGCTGCAAAGGAAGCTGTTTGGATAAGGAAC